TTAAAACACAATGCACAGAGCTCCATTATTAAGCTTCAAATTTCCTACTAGATAAACTTTTCTGTAGCTTAGGGAGTTATTCTAGACAAGTGTTAATGCACAGACCATTGTTCTATATTTCCTTGCTTTTCTACAGTATAAATAAATTTTCTGCTGACCAATCTCATGGCTACTGCTTAGCGCTAATCACAATTCTGCTGTCTCTGAGGCCTGCCTTTTGCAGCTTTCCCAAAACCCTCTGATTTTGTGGATTCCCACAGCTTCTCACCCTTCCATGGCCAGTTCTGGGGCAGTGCCCAGCTCAGAAGGTGACAGCTGTGCTACCCTCAGGACCTCTCTGCTTCCTTGCATCAGCTCATGTGTTCCCTGGAGGTGTGGTGTAGGAGCTGAGCAGATGATAATGAGAATTAAATCCGTGCGGAGCTTCAACTCAGGCACAATCCTTGGAAGTTAAGCTTGCACTTAGGTGCTGTGATGGATGAGGTGAGGAGGGTGACTTGCAGCAGGGATGGAGGAGGGATAACTGTCAAATTCACTCCAGGTTTTCCCTCCACGCTCTGTGCCAGGCCAGCAGGGCAGGAGCCACTTTCTTTGTCTTGTTCCTAGAGTTCTAAGCTGCTTCTGGAAAAGTTGCATTTCTCATCAGGTTGAAGCAGAGGCTCAGGTTTGGAAAGTGCCATCCCTGAAGAGCAGGAACAGCAGGTGCCAGGGGTAGAAAAGGAGCTTTTCAGAGAGCTTTACTGGGAGGCTGGGAACGTGGTTCTGCAGCCCTGAGCCACAGTGGCACTGAGGATGCTCTGCAGGATGTGTGTGTCCAGACAGGAGTGGACGCAAAAGCTGTGGCTGAGCTCTGTATCCCTTTGGCTGGGGAGAGGCAGCCCTGAAACAGGTGTGAGTGTGTTTGTGCGATGCTCACACAGCTGGGAAGGTGTGTGTTTATACCCCACAGCCTTTGGGATCAGGATGCCACCCCAGCTGGGGTCTGGGCTTGTCCCCACCACATACCTGTGCAGCTGGGGCACAGCCCTGGCACAGCAGGGCACTCCTGCAGGACAAGGGTGAGTTCCTGAAGGTGCTGCCAGGAGGGAATCAGGGACACCAGCAGCGCCAAGAGAAGGGTGACAAGCAGCAGCTTTGCTCCACCACTGCCAGAACTCCTCCAGCTCCTTAAATAAAAGTGCCAGTGACAGCACAGAGCAGCTTCCCTGGGAGCACAGGGACTCTGGGAGCCTCCATTCCTGCTGTGCACTGGGTGGGTGGATTAGGGGGATTCTTGCAGCATTATCACCACAGATCACTCTCTCCATAATGAGGCTAACAGGCTTATCCTGGCAGGCTGATGGTTCATCCTGCAGCCCTGCTCTGCTGCTCCCAGATCCTGTGGGGATGGGCAGGGAGAGTGTGAGACCCCATTCCAGTGAAGGAATAGTTCAGCAACTTCCAGCTTTTCTATTAAAAAAAAAAAAAAAAAAAAAGAGAGAGCTAAATCCTCCACCTGTTTAATAACACACTGGAAATACAATATTGGACCTCCAGAGCTGAGCACTGGGACCTGCCCTCATTTATGCTGAGTGAGCAGTGATCCTTCCTTTGGCTGGAACAGCTGAATGATTGCCATGGATTATCCAACCTGGTTTGTGCTTCTGAATCCAAAGGCAGGGGAAGGACTGTGCATGGCAGGGTGCAGGGTGGTGGCAGTGGGAGCAGGATTCTTGTCCTGGGGGTTGGTAGATCCTGATTCATTTGTGCTCCTGCAGCAGCTGCACATTACACAGAGGCGTGTGCAGGACCTGTGGAAATTGCATCCAGCTCCAGGTGCACTTACTTGTCAAACTTGGTTACTTTGGTTGACTTTGGCTTCAAGCTCAGCTTGAATCCTAACTCAGCTGCAGCAGGGCTGCGTGGATAACTGTGTCCATCTCGGATGCAGTTGCTTTGAACAAAATCTCTTTATTTTGGCCTTTTGATGGTTTGATTTATTTTAGCAGCATGTTGAAAAACACATCCTAAAGAGGTCTTGGGAGTTGGAGCCCTGTTGCCCCCACTCCAGGCACTTTATCAGGAGTTTCTCATTCCATGGGGAATCAGCATCCTCCCTGGCTCAGCATTGTCCCTGGGAAGGATGAGGACAGACTGAAAATAACAGAGTAGTTTGGGGGGCCAAAGAAGGAAGGTGGATACTGTTGGGGAGGGGTCAAAAGCTCCTGAGACCTGTAAGAGCACAGCAGGTTCTGCTGAAAAATTTTTGGAAGCCCCACTAATTGTCAGTTCATGGTTGTTGACAGAAGAATAGATCCTTCAACATCTGACCTGAGGTGATGGAGTCCTCTGTATTCCAGCAGACTGCAGCACTCAGCTGATTCCGTGCTGGGAGTTTTCCTATCCAATTTCCAAACCCTGCCCAAGGGGTGTAGATCACCCTGGGAAGCCTGTGGAGAGCTGATCCCCCCTCTCTCCTGCCCTGGATCTCCTCCCCAGCTGGTGGCACCACTTGCCCTCTCACTTACTGAAATAAACCTCCCAATAAACCTCCCAATAAAGTCTTGAGCACCGGCTGTAGCTGCTGAACGTCCAGGATTGGAGTCGATAAAATCAATATTTCCCCTGGTTGATAGAGTTCCTCCTTCTGATGCCAAACTGAAGGAGCAGTAAACAAGCCAGCAGGCAAAATAAACCCTCCTGCACCGTGGCAAGGGAGGTTCCCCACCCAGCACCCCCAGCCACAGATATGAGGAAGGGTTTGGGCAATGGATGCTGACCTCTGTTGGTGTTTTTTTCTTTTCTTGCTCTAATTGCTGTGGCAGGAGCCGAGAGTGAGGCAGTGCCCCAAGACTCCCAGCTCTGCTTCGCAAGCACTTTGAGATGTCTCTCATTTGCAGAGCACATATTTGTTATGTAATAAGCGCCAGGAATTAATGATCCACAGCACGGCTGGGGAAACTTGCGTACTAAGCACCCAAGGAAAAAATAACTTTTCTTTTTTTAAAATCACTGATGGAGCCATTAGGACCTGTGTTTTCCTGCACTGAGACCGCCCCAGCCCCCAGGCAGGGCAGAGCTGAGCAGGGCCAAGCGCTGCTATCCCTCTTCCAACTCCTTCCCTTTGGAGCAGCAATGTTCCTGCCGCTCCTGTTATGAATCATGAGGTTAGCAGCTTTTGACAGATCATAAATCAGTGCTTCCAAGTCGCTAGGACAAATCCCAGGACATTTAATCTTTAATATTAGACGCGTTTGAGGCAGTGAATATTTCATGAAGGTGCTGTTGCATTTTAGCACATCATTAGCCGTCTCTTTTTTCCCCCCCCACTCTTTCCTTTTTTTGCTGCCTCTCCCTTCCCAGGCGTCTCTTCCTCAAAAAATCTCAGTAGTTGAATCCCCATCTCGCTCCCTCCTGACAATAAAGCTCTTTACTGTAATCCTTGTGAGGCATTTTAAGAACTTGCTTAAGGAGGAGCAGGCAGGTAGCTGCCACTCTGCCTTGCCACTGTGAGGGGGGTCCCCATGTCCCCATCATCCTCCCTATGTCCCCACCTCGGCTGTGTTTACAGCTCAGCTTTGCTGCACTGTCAGGCACGATGGGGAGAGGAGGGGAGGGTGTGGGGGAACACTGGCAGCAGCTTGTAGCAGGAACTCCACGTGCAAATCCAATTAATCTTTTGATTTTGCTGTTTCTTGCTCCGGGTTATGTATTTCTACCAAGCACTGAATCAATTTCGGCCAAGTGTGGGTTTCTGGTGTGGGAAATGTCTTCTCCTGCTGGCAGAGAGCAGAGGGGAGCAGGGCTGAGAGCCCCTCCACTGTGGAATGGGGGCACAGCATGGGAGCTGTCTGGGGAGGGTTTTCAGCATTTTAGTTACTGTATTTACAAACAAGAAAGAGCATTTTGCTCACATTACTAACATGATCCATGATTTATACAAAGATCTTGGTCAGAGATCTTTAAATCACCAATAACTCAAGACCATTTTCTACTCACCTGATGGCTCTGTTAAATGGATCTGCATTACTGTAATCAGACTGACATCCAAATTAGGGGGTTCTGCGCCTTTCAGTGGGAGTTTGGGCTGCAGGAGACTCTGCTCTCTTGTCCTGGTGTCAGATAGCAGAGCAGAGATGGGAAGGGGATGTGGGATGGGTTTGTGGTGCCCTCCTTGGGCATTGCACAGGGGGGACACTGGAAGGTGAAGATCCCTGATGAGGAGTGAAGCTCTGGCTGCAGGACTGCACAGGAACACAGGTTAAGGACAGATCTTCTGCATCAGGAAACCCCATCCCCAGCTACATCATGTGGGTTGTATAATCCTCTCCTGGAGAATAACTCCTATAGTGGATATTTTTGCCCCCAACAAGGGTAGAGAATGATGCAGCAGACTACATCTTATCAGAAGGCTAATTAATTACTTTATTATACTATATTACTCTATACTATATTATATTACATCTAAACTGAATCTGCCAAGCACTCAACTGTACAGAATCTCGTGACTGTCCCAACAGTCCTGACACACACACTCTTGGCTCTGACAGGCCAAAGAAACAAAACACCATCACTTTGGGTAAACAATCTCCACATTGCATTCTACTTTGGCACAACACAGGCACAGCAAATGAGATAAGAATTGGTTTTCCTTACTCTGAGGTTCAGAGAATGTGAAACCCATAAATATTCTTGGGTTGAATTGTGCCTTGCTCTTCTCTGTGAAGGGAAATGTGGCGAAAAACCATGGGTTTCTTACAGCTTTCCACATCTCCTTCAGGTTTGATGTGGTGAGGGGTAACTAGTGGGTTAGCTGGTGTAAAATTTTCTGGGTCTCCCAGGAGGCTGGGGGAGAATAGAGCCAGGGAAAGTATTAGTGCAAATCCTTCTCCACACCTCCTGGGGGCATCTGGAGTCCAAAGCGCTCCAGAGGAGGGCAGCGGGGGAGGAGGGTCTGACTCTGCAGTCACTGCCATGTGTCTGGGGCAGAGCCATCTCACCCTTTGCCTGCTCTGTCCTAGGAGAGTGCAGCTGCCACGAAGGCTACGCGCCGGACCCCGTGCACCGGCACCTGTGTGTGCGCAGTGACTGGGGACACAGCGAGGGGTGAGTGGGGACACGGGGCTGGGGGGCCCTGCCCTGGCCTTGGCTTGAAGCATCTCGCCCTGACCGACAGGGCTGGGCCTGGTTAGAAATGGGCAAACTTTGCTGGATTTCTCCAAAGCTAAAGCTGCCAGCAACTAGGACCCTGCAAGTTCTTAGAGCCCCAGACGTCACCTTTCAACTGATCCCCAGACCCTGGGGAAATGTCTTCTTTTTCCCACGGAAAATGGCCTCCATTTGCAGCATCTCACCCTGACTGACAGAGTGGCGCCTGGTTGGAAATTGGCAAACTTTGCTGGATTTCTCCAAAACTAAAGCTGCCAGCAACTAGGACCCTGCAAGTCCTTAGAGCCCCAAAGCCCATCTTTCAACTGACACCCAGACTCTGGGGAAAGGATTCCTTTTTCCCACAAAAAAATGGCCTCTGATTGCGGCCACATGCCCTGTCTGATTGGGCAGTGCCAAGCATCGAAATTGGCAAACTTTGCTGTATTTCTCTAAAACTAAAGCTGCCGGCAACTAGGACCTTGCAATTCCTTAGAGCCCCAGATGTCACCTTTCAACTGATCCCCAGACCCTGGGGAAATGTCTTCTTTTTCCCATGAAATTGGCCTCTGTTTGCGGCATCTCACCCTGACCGACAGGGCGACGCATGGTTAGAAATCACCCAGTTGTCCTCCCCCTGGGTGATCCCTGTGCCACTTGCCCAGCCCAGGGATGTGCTCAGCTGCTTTTGCCCTCTCTCCTGGCAGGCCCTGGCCCTACACGACGCTGGAGAGGGGATATGACTTGGTCACGGGAGAGCAGGCACCAGAGAAGATACTCAGGTGAGTCAGAGAAGGCTTCAGCTGGGATATTTGAAAAGGAAGAGCCATGAGGACATCCCAGTGTGTGCAATCTTTTGGCCAATGCCAGCTCATTCTTGTGCTGGTGATGGGACAAGTGTCATTTGGCTGTGACAGACCTGAAAGATTTGTCCATGTTGGCAGGCAGGGAAGGGTTCCCCTCTTGTCCCTTCAGCAAATGTGAGGACAGCATGTACAGAAACTCCTCCTGGAATAAAAAGAAGATTTTTTTTTCCCATCCCCATGTTCTCCTGTCACATCTCAAGTCATTCCTCTCCCTTGTGACTAAATCACTGACTTATCTCATGGTGCCACCACTGCTCTGCCTTCTGAGCACACAGTGGAGGGCCACCATGCCCTGTGGTCACTCTGCTCCTTGTGACTTATTTTTCCTTTGTCCAGGTCCACCTACAGCTTGGGTCAAGGGCTGTGGCTGCCAGTCAGTAAGAGCTTCGTGGTGCCCCCTGTGGAGCTTTCCATCAACCCCCTTGCCAGCTGCAAGACAGATGTTCTGGTGACTGAAGATCCAGCAGATGTCAGGTAGGAGGCATATTTCTCGTTCGCTTCGTGCCTGAGTGCCTACACTGCTCTTTAAATTGTTATTGAGGATGCAGTAATTTCTGTGATGATAGGTTTGATTAATTTCCTTCCAATAAGAAATCTGATGTGATTGCTCTCCAGGCTCTTTGGGCTGATGGGTCTAGGCCAGGCCTGACTGTGTAACTCTGAAATCTGCCAGTACAGGCAGGTGAATTGGTAGGAACCTGTGGCAAGGCAATTTGAGAGTGGCTTAAATGTAATGTTAGATTGCAGTGCTTAAATGGATGCATTTACTGGGATTTGAGGGGCTGTCATCTTTCTGAAACTCATACCCATATCACATCCACCTGGCACTGATATCTGCTGGGATGTTCATGAAGGGTGAAAGGCCATGTTGCTTATCTAATAATCACACAATTAGAGGGTTTTTTTTCCTTTTTGGAGTTCAGTGAATGCCTGGACATTTTGCTGATCACCTTGGTAGTGGTTATGCTCTTTGGTCTGGTTTACAAGGGTTTAACTGTAAATTATAAGGGTTTCATTCTGAAGGTATTTAGTGTGTATTGCCCTCTCTCCCATTAAATTAAGATTGAACATGTGACTGCTGGGTGCCAGGGAGATTTTGTGTTCCATCCCTCCCTCCTTCCCTCCCTTCCTTCTTGCTGCTTTCTCCTGTTGACTCCAGACACAATTTCCTGACTTGAAAATCCTTGCTTGTATTATGAATCATCTCCCTGGGCACCAGCAGGATCCTTGTGTCCCCCAGCCCCTTCTGTCTTGTGTTTCCCCAAAGTGATGAGGAAAGGATTTCCATTCTTCTGTCCCATCATCTTGGCAGGGCTGTTGTTTAAGTGCCTACAAAAGCTATGGCAGAGCCAGGACTGGAATCCAAGGTGCCCTCACTTCCAAGTGTGTGTGGTTTTGTTGCTAATTAGTGCTTGTTCCCTTTTCCTGTGAAAAGAGACAGTGGTACATATCCATCACAGTTTGGCTCTTTTAGGCCCGTTGCTTTTCTTGTCTGCAACAACTTCTGCTTTTCATTTGAGAAAGGAAGGGTTTTATGCTAACATTTTCCAAGCCAAAGTGCCAAGAGAACATTATTTATTTCTTTCCTCTTCACATCTTCATTAAAAGTGCCTCAGTGAAGGTAGAGGCTCAGAAGCTTGTTTTCTGCTCCAGTGCAGTAATTGTCTCTGGGCACTGCTCCTTGTGGAAAAGTCTCTGTTGGGATGGATGAATGCCAGGCAGGAGGAGGGGAGGCTTTGGCACAAAGCTGTTGCCTGCTCCCCTCGTAAATGCAACCTGAACTGAGAATTCCAGGTATAAATATTGGAGTGGCTCAGGTAGAATATGGGAGGTGTGAGTTCATGGCACTTGTATCTTACACACAGGAGTTGCTGAATTATTAAAACTTTAATAAACGCAATAATAAATATTTGATGTTGAATTATGGAAGGTTTCACAGATACAGTGAGAAGTGAAAAGCAATCTATTATTTCTGCATTAGAACTGAAACACTTCTCAAACGAGGAGCAGCAAGCTTGGGATCCTCAGCACCCCAGGGTGGGTGGAACACTCTTCTGAGGTTCTTGGGTGCTTTCAGAGCTGCTTATCTTGCAGCCTCTTTGCTTTATTTCTGGACTGACTCAAGCAGCTTCTCAGGGGAGAGGTTTTGGTGGTTCAGATGTTCAGGTGGTGGTCCAGCACGTCAGGTGGTCCAAGGTGTAGGGTTCAAACACAGCAATCCCTCTCTCTGCCTGAATGGCTTTCCTGCCTTTGGGACTGTGGCAGCACAGCTGTCCTTCCATGCTGGGAGCTCCTGCAGGTGAATCTCAGAATCATTTGGGTTAGAAAAGGCCTCAAGGATTGAACCCAGCCTGTGACCCATCCCCACCTTGTCACCCAGACCACTGCACTGAGCACCAAGCTCACTTTTTGAATATTTCCAGGGATGAGAATTCTACCACCTCCCTGGGCAGCCCCTTCCAATGCTTGACAACCCTTTTCCAATAAAGAAACTCTTCTGAACCTGCATTGCTTGGGCTTTAATACAGCCCCATCTCCGTGCCACAGAGCAGACCCTGGGCTGTGTTCCACCAGCTGCAGCACAGCTGTGCCCCATTTGCTGTCCTGTGTCACTCTGATGGTGGCTCAGTGCTCTGTTCCTCCTGTGTCTGTAATAACGAGCGTGCTGCATTCCTGCAGACCTTTCATTAGTCTGACACCTTTGGCTCTGGGGTCACTTGTCTTGAAGAGCTTAATGGAGGGAAATGGCAGAAAGCCTGCTTTGGAGAAAACAAGTGATGAAGTCTTTACAACTCAGCAGGTTAAAGGTTCAAATGTGGTCTTGTGTTTTTATGAAGATGTTTGAGATGCAGAGGGACAGGTGAGGCTTGGCCTTTCAGCAGCTCTCTGGGGAAATGCTGCCTCCAATGCTGTTCTCTGTGTGTTTCACTGCTGGGCAGTGCAACAAGCTGTGGATGGGAATTAAGGACTCAAACCTTCCCCTGCTGCAGCCAGATCATTAGAGAAAATTCCAGAAAACAGGAGCCAACAGGATTTGTGCAAACATCCCCCTCAGGATGCTCCAGGGGCTTCAGGGGACAGCACACAGCAGTGTGCAAAACTTGGTGCTGGAGGTTTTAGGGCTGTGTGTCGTAAATTAGGAATGAGAGTGCTTAGAGTTAATGAAACTTGCATATATAATTTATCAGTGACCATATTGAGCATCCCTTCCTCGACCCCAGAGTCTGATCCTGTGCACAAGGATGGCATCACTCACAGCCTGGGACTGTGACAGCCACGCTCACGGTGACGTCTTTGCTCAGATGAGCTTGGCCAGCAGTGCTGCAGGGCTGTCCCCACAGCCTGGGCTGTCCTGGCTGGGCAGACTGTCCTTGCAGTCTGTCCTGCATCCCCTGCCAGGACAAGAAATACATCCCAGTCCCACTTTGTCTTGCTTGTTTTCAAGACTCCTCTTTGTTTCCCTTCCCATCTCTTTCTCTTATCTGTATTTCTCCCATAACCTGGTGTTAAACACAGTAGTCTAAAAATTTTGTTAAACTAATTACTCTTAGGTGTTCAATCCTTCTGCTGGCCTTCCCTAGACACCTTGCCATCTCTGTCTGAGCCTTTGCAAGGTGCAGCTTGCAGGAATTGCTGTAATTGTGGCAGTGTATGGGAAGGACCCACAGCCCCCAGCTCCTGCTGCCCCAGCACCGAGCATCCCTGCAGGGATAATGAAAGCATCCCTGCAAGGGATAATAAAAATATCCCTGCAGGGCATAATAAAAACATCTCTGCAGGGGATAATGAAAGCATCCCTTGGGGCACGCACAGAGCTGTGGGGGACCAAGAGGAGAGGCAGCCCTGGGGGCAGAGCAGGGCGCTGGCAGGCTCCCAGTGGTCACGGTTCAGTGTGCCACCCGCTCTGCAGAAAAGTTGATAATTTCTGTTGAGCAGCCATAAATCAGAGGCACGAGCCTCAGCTGCTGCCTGACATGACATACAGCTCTATCGTTATGGCAACCATAGAAACAAATAAAAGCCTTGCCTTCGCTTGACAAGCCTTTGAGATGTCCTGATGGAGAGACAAGTGTTCAGCAGCAGAATGAATTCTCTTGAACTCGCTGTCGATTTATCTTCGTTTTGCTCCCAAGTGTGCCCCTTTGCTCTCTGAATTCTTTGCCAAAGTACAATCAACTGGATTTTTTATTTCTGCTTTTTCCTTATTTGTTTGTTATTTTTATTTTCAGTTCTCTCAGAGGCAGAACACTTTTCTCCCCCTCTCTGTGCCCTCGTGAGTCCCATCTTCTGTCAAGGATGGGAGCCAGGCTTTTTCTCCCTGCCCATGGCATTCACCAGCTCAGCCATGCTGTGCTCTTGCAGCCTCACTGCTGCCCCAGCCTTACAGGCATTTTGAGTGGTATTTTGAAGGGGTTTTGCAGTGATTTGGGCACTTGTGATTTTGCAAGTCGGTGGTGATCGCTGTGGTGTGAGGCTGCCTGGGAGTCGAGGAGGATGGAAAATGAAGTGGATGAGGAAGGCAAAGGGTATCTGGAGAGTGTGGAAACAGCTTTGCTATCCCTGCTGTTTGCAGCAGCAAAACTCATCTGTCTGTGCCTTAACCTCCTTGCTGTTCTGCAGGAGCACAGATGAATGGGTGCAGCTGCAGGTGAGCATCCCTCAAGGTCAGGAGGTCCATGTGGGTTGGGATATGGCATGCAGGCAGAGGGCACCCTGCCAGCTCTCCTTGCTATTTGTGCAGGGGATGACATGGGAAATTCATCCCTTTTTTCCCTTATTTTCTTTCTGCTGCCCCCCTGGAGCAGAGCAGGGTGTGATTTTGGGGAGCTCAGTGCCATGGGGACCCTCAGCCAGGAGGCTGGGGCAGAGGAGAAGCCCCTTTTCCAGGCTGTTCCTGATCAGGGGTCTGTGGCTCTCCTGCAGTGCCTCCTCCTCCACTGGGGCCAATAAAAAGGTGTGAGTTCCTGCAATCCATGGCCATGATGAATGGACAGCTTTGCATGATGGAGCAAATTGATCATTGCATCAGCAGGCACAACTCACTCATTTCTGCAGAGAGGGCAATCCATTACTGTGCACATCACAGAGACACCCTCATCCCCAGAGGTAACATCCCTGGGCTCTGGCCTGCACTTCCTACCACCCCAGGACACTGTTGTCTCTCAGCAAGTGGTGGAGAAGCATCTTTTGGTGCTTAACACTGGGATAGAGGCAGCCTTTTGCCTCATCCTGTGGGGAGCAGGGACAGATGCTTTACAGAGAGGCAGCCATCAGCCCCTGCCCTGCAGCTGTCAGCTGAGCTCTGTCCTGGCTGCTTACCAGGATTTTCCTCCTCCCTGCCTCCCTCTGTGATTTATGAGAGCAGGTTAGAGGAGTCAGGTACATCTCACTTGGCCACAGGGGGACTAAATGGAGATGTAATCCTACAGCAGCCACCCAGGGGTGTGAGCAGCAAAAGAAGAGAATTAGGGGAG